ATAGTTGTGACTTTCTCAGTTTTATGGTTACTTTCTAAAGTGGTCCTTGATTAAATGAACGTTTCTATAGGGATTTGAAATGAAACATGAGCTCTCTCGGTGGTTTTTGCACTGAAAAAAAACCCCTGGCCCTGCCTGGCCCCAAGGCCCCAGATTCAGGGTGTGCCCTGCCTGGCCCTGACACATTTTGAAAGGCCTTTGGGCATCACCAAGGCCGGGCGGCGCCCCGGGGCCGCCCCTGAAAGCTCAGGGCCGGGTCACAGCCCTACTCACACGTCAGCAATGTGACACATTGTCACTCAGATTCTGAGTATGCACTCTGAGAGTCTGAGTAATACAATTATGGTACTCAAAACCACTAGGTTCAAGCCACCTTCTTCAAAAAATGTGAAAAACATAGATTCAAAGTTGATCTTTTTGCAGGGGAATTCCTGGGAATTCTCTGGAACTTTTTTTTGGAGTTCTGTACGGTTCATTTTCTCCACAAAAACAACATTTTGAAAGCAGGTTTTCAAGAAAGGTAGCACGGACTTAGTGGTTTTGAGTACCGTACACCCACTTCGGTAACGCATATGTTACATATGCGACCGAATATGTACCACCAAAAAAACATACCAAATTTCGGTTGTATATATGACCCGGAAAACCAATTCGGTAACCTAAACTGCAACGAAACAGATATACATATTTTGACATTTATATGTAAAATTTGTACAAATTCTCCAAAACGACTTTTTGTCGTTTTTTTTTTATGAAAACCAACTAATATCTATTGATTCTCTTTCATCTCGAAGTATCACTTTGTCTTTTTTTGTACTTCACCGAAAACAATCAATTTTTTGTTTTGTTTTTTTCTTTCTCATCACAAATAACTTCAACTCTTCACTACCTCAACCTTGCTCACTCAGTTAAATCAATCAATCAATCTGGTCAACCTCATATCCCCTCTCATCAAAACTCAAAGTCGACTTCAAAATATCCTTCAAGCCACTTTCATCTTAAAAAAAACTTCCTTCAACTGTTATTTATCATTTCATTCAATCGATTCATTACATTACCTTTACCTTTTCAATCTCGAGATGCCGGCGTCCACCAACATATCACAATCAGTTGAAGACAGTCCGATTGTTTCAACACCCTCATCCAAGTGCGAATGGACCAGTGACCAAGAATCGAAAATGATCGAACATCTTATAAAAACTCATAGGAACAATAAAAGTAATAAAGGCTTTTCAAAAGCAACTTGGGCATTGATTGCAACTGAATTGAAGGGTACTGAAGGCGCGACTAAAAAAAAGACTGGTGAGATGGTACATGGTCATTATAATGTGGTAAGTCTTTTGCTTTTGTCTCTTTCTTTCTACTGTATATTAATTGTATCTTTGTTTCAAATTAAGCTTAACAAACGGTACAAAGATGCGAGCGATTTGTTGAAGAAAAGCGGTGCCGGATGGAACCCCGAAACGAATATGGTCGAGCTCAGTTCCGACATCTGGAACGAGATGGCCAAAGTACCAGTATGCCCAGCTCATTCTTACCTTCATACCTTCTTTCTTGTCTGATTGCTAATGCTGTGACTTTCTCATCCCAGTCAGGAACTAACAAGCGTTTAGGTTGGTTCAGAAGGAACCCCTTCCCGCTTTATGAATCAGTTGGTGTGCTCGTCAATCCTGGGATGGCCAAGGGAACTGGGAAGGTCAATTCTTTTGCTCCTGCCGAGGAAGCTGTTGGAGAAGGTGAAAAAGATAAGGATGATGATACTTCAAGTGGCAAATCAATGAGCCATGATGGGAGTCAACTTGGGAGTTTAGATGAATCTCGACTTCAGCGTGCTATCGAATCCGATGAAGAAACACCAGCACCTACCAGCACTTCTCAAGATCTTCCCAAGAATAAATTCATGAAGAATAAGAGATTCAAACACGATCGATCACCAGAAATCGATTCAAAAGTCAAAGTTCATAAACCTTTTCAAAAACAACAACGCAAGACTGCGGCTCAAGCTGGTGAAGACTTTATAGATGGAATTGGCTCGATTTCAGACAAATTTATTAGTCACATGGCCAACGATAATTTAGCTTCTGGAAGTTTGACTCAACCTTACGACTTTCTCACCACTGCTACTTGGGGATTACGCAAGCTCGGTTTAAGTCAAGATGAACTGTACAAATCAATGGAAATGTTAAAGAAAGATGTTGACTATGCCAAAATGTTTGTTGGTCTTGAAGAAAAGGATTTACAACTTGGCTGGATCAGAGGAAAGTTAGCAGGTGATCAAAATTAAATCGATTCAATTCAATAACTTTTTAATCACTTTTTCCATACATAAGTTTATCTTTTACTTTGGTCAAAGTCGAGTCGCATATATCTTAAAATAAATATTCAATAATTAAAGGTTTTTTTAAATACATTTGTAATTTCATAAGGCTTATGAGGTTCTTAATTGTTCTGTAATAACAAAGCCTGCTGATTGCTCAAGTTGTAATTGACTCTTGATTGAGTTTATATAAATACTAAAACATGAAATATTTCGTCTTTATCAAGTTTCTAAAACACCTAAAACATGAGGGCATTAAGTATGATGCGAGTTTGTAATAAATGATAATAAATGTTTAATAACTTGCTAAGCGTCTAAGCAAAAATCGAAAAACAAATGAGTATCTTAATTCACATTCCACGAGCAGTTCGTTGTTGGCGATAAGTTCTCCACATTGCTTTAGCAATCTTCGTTCTCAACTTTCCTGCTTCAGTTGACTCTTCAGGAGTGTTTCCAACAGTGTGTAACTCCTCTTGATTGACTCGAGGTTGATAGTTTTCATCAAATTCCCCATTAAATTGCTCATCATTACTATCGACTGTTCTGATGAAATTATGTATAAAAGCCATTAGTAGTATTAATCTTGCTTGAATCAGTATGGGATAGTGAGAACCTTCTCCCATCACTTTAAATCTTTGCTTTGTTACACCAAATATTCTTTCGATATAGTTCCTTAAAGCTGCATGTCGTTTGTTATACAGTTCCTGATAAGTTCGAGGTCTGTAGAGTACAAAAACATCAGTTTGCGCTATTCAATAAAAGAGGTTTGGTGGCGTACTCAGAGTTATCGCCGGAAAATTCACGAAGATGATATCGCACCCCTCGAAAAGGGGTTTGACAAGTCAGACTCAATGCAAAGCCAGCATCGCCCAAAACATACTTACCAGCCGGGATGGTAAGATTGCTTTCGCGTGCATCATCCCAGAGTTTAGAGCATCTCCACCGCGGACCTGATCTGTAAACCAAATACAGAGCCAAAAAAAGCTTGCTGGAAAAACTTTGACAGCTGTATTTTATATCCAGCTTTGTTCCATCCAACGCGCAAATCGGTATAAATTTTTGAGTCGTTTTGAGCTGCCTAAGTTGCCAAACCCTCACCCAATCGAGCCACCAAATAGCCATCAATTGGTTGGACAACGAGAAAATAGGACGCATGTGGTGACTTTATCACCACATGTGCCAAATGTAAGTCCAATACTGGGACAATACAGTTTGCTGCAAATATTCGGTTGGTACTTCATATTTCAAGTACTGACCGTGTGAAACAGGGTTTGCTGGATATTGAGGCTCACACGGATGGTGAGCTGTTACATTTCCAGACCGCGCTGGATGGTCGATTTGTGACCTAGACCTGCAAACGTAAAATACACCTTACGTGTATGTCTGAAACGTTACGTTTGCAGGTCTGCGTTGGAGATGCTCTTACTATCCGCCACACTACCTTCCCAGCCAGCTAGAATATACGTAAAACATAAGCTGAAATTACAAGCCGCCAGTACATTTTGAGTTATATTGCCTTTTCGATTGAAATATGGCTTGGCGTCAAGTGGCGATACATGAACTGGCATATGCGTTCCATCAACTGCCCCCACGCAATTCTTGAAATAGGGGTACCAATCGGGGTTATTACGGATGGATGCTGACATCGGAGTATCCTGTTGAGGGAGGATGATGTAAGAATGGATCAATTGGGTATTTTTGGTGATATCCTGAGTTAAGTTGTTGATGATCCTGTAAAGACACAATCATCAGTCTTTGAAATGAATAATATAAATGATTTAATGGATTCACTTTGAAACCGTGTCAGCAGATCTTTGGAAGCGTTGGTTAAGCTTC